TTTTTTTTTTTTTTTTTTTTTTTTTTGGTGCTGGGGATCAAACTCAGGACCTTGTACTTGAAAGGCAGGCAGTGGAACCTTGCATAGCATTTCCTTCCAGGGAGTTAGAAAATCAGGGACTTTGGAGGAAGTAAGTGATGGGGATGTCATGAGGGGCTTTTTAAATTCCCACCTCTGTGGTCAAGTCTGAGAGTGGAATCAGTGGAGTGGCCATGATCTGCAGTGTTCTGAGCCCACTGAGGCACTTGCTTAGGTTGATGGGCACTGGACTTCACCTAAAGGGTTCCAATGCACTAGACCAGCGGTGGTGAACCGTGGCACGCACGGTGCAGTGGATCAACCATTTGTATCACTGAAAGCTCTGAAAGGTTCACTGTCACATTACTAGCCGAAACAGCACTGGACAAACTTAATTCAGTGCCCTGAAACAAGTCACTCTCAGAGTGTACCTTGTGAAGTTTGAATTGGCTGCTTTGGGGAGGCCTGGTTGGCACTAACGTTCCCTGGAGTCCAGACACAGGGACAGGGCCTTCACCCCAGCACCTTTAGCTTTCTGTCTTCACACCGGCTTCAGTGCCTGTTTCACAGTTACTTGTCACACAGTACACTGCTCCTGCCCAGGAGATGCCCAAGTCTATCATCCTCAGCAGGTCCCCTGTGGCCCTGCTGCACTTCACTCCACCTGTGTGAAATGCTAGAGCCACTCTGACCCCTCTGGTCGGGCGATCCACACATGTGCTGCCCCAGTACGGTGATCACGGACCACACTGAACCCTCGAGACACGGCCAGCGAGTGGGCCAAGGAAGCATGTGCCATGTTCAGGTCCAGTGTAACTGTAGGTGTCGTACAGGTCAGTGGTTGATGGGCAGGGACCGCTCTCTGGAGTCTCGCAAGCGCCCATCCAACTCAGGCATCCAGGATTCTGACCAACCCCTGCCCCACCCCACTGAGGGAGCTTGCTCTTAAATTACTGAGGAAACCACTCACCTTTTGTTAAACAGTAAATTCAGAGTTTTCATTGAGTTAGTTTGTTTTTAAGGGATCACTGGTGTGGTTAAAGCTTAAATACATCCTTTGCTTCTGTCTCTTGTTTTTAACTGGGGCCCCTGGTTTATAGGCCACTAGGTTCTCCATGCATGTGACCCATTTGTAATAACAGATAAATGTTAGACGGGAAGTATCATTTGCATTTTCTGTTACATTCAGTGTTTTTATTTTCTTGGAATTTTAGGAGATACTCCGTTTTATGCAGATTCACTTGTAGGAACTTACAGCAAAATTATGGATCATAAAAATTCATTATCTATACCTGAAGATGCTGAAATTTCTAAACACGCGAAGAATCTCATCTGTGCCTTCTTAACAGAAAGGTAACACCTATTAAATTTTTTTGTAAAAGAAGCCCTTTTACTTTGGAATTTGTCAGAAGGAAAGCCATTGTGTTGATGTATGAAATCAGGTTCTCTCCTTGTCCGAGTTGCATTTACTTCAGGGCTGGCCTTTTTCTACTACTAAGCCTGGTGTTGGGTTACCTCACCTTTTTCCCTGCATGGCCCACTTGTAATCTAACTATAATCATAATCCTCATGTCTAAAAAGAAAATCAGAACTCAGTAAAAGAGTGCATTTGAAAGAAATAAAATGTTTGTACTATTTACCCTCTGAAGGTAGTTAATTCTTATTACTCTTGATGATACAACTTTTGAAAGAACAGTTCATAGTCATAAAAACTATGTTTGACATGGGAGTCCATCTTTCCAACTCTTTTTATTTGCGATTTAATATGAGCAGTTCTGTCCTGGAAACTATATTTTAAAAAACAAAACAGGTAAAAATGTGAAAACCTGCCTCAAGAGAAGCGAGGAAGCTAGATCATTTTCCTGCCTTGGTCTTTCTACTCAGTTCTCTTGTGTCTGTTGGTTGACGCAGTGATAGAAGCCATCTGAGTGCAGGGCCAGAGGCCCCAGAGGGCGCTTGCCCTGTGGTCTGTGCGCTGTGATCTGGGGAAGTTATCTGTTCGCCTGCATGGAGGTGGCCCACCCTAGCTAGTCACCTCCAAGAGGTCCTGCTCCTTAAGGCCACACCTTGTCGCTTGGTGATAGCACTCTTAGTGCCACAGGGACTGTCCTCACACGTCAGCTTACACACCTTCGCAGCGGACAATATTCAGTAGAATTCCGGGACACATATTCTTAAATTACTTTGCAAAATTGACCCCCAAAGAAATTGCATAACTTTATATTTCCACTGATAATAATTGGCTTTCTTTTTCTCTTCAAACTGAGTATTACAATTTTTTTTCATTTTGTCCACAGGAGGGAAGCAGCAAAAGTTATTTTATCTTTATTAGAGAAGAAAATCACGTCTATCAATTATTTGTAGAATAAAACTAAAACTTGCTGATTACATTATTAATGTTCCATACTGATGAAATCGAAGTATAATCTGTAGAATATATAATTTGGGGACTGAGTGGGGCTGGTGGGGATTGCATTATAAAATAGGGGTAGACAGGTGTGGTAGTAATTCCAGCTGCTTGGGGGGCCGAGGCAGGAGACCTCAAAGTTGAGCTCAGCCTGGGCAACTTATTTAGGCTCTGTCTTGAATAAAATAAAAAGGGTTGGGAGTGTAGCTCAATAGCGGAGCACTTGCCTAGTGTGTGCAATGCCCAGATTTAATCCCCGGCTCTACAGAGTAAGGTGCAGTGCTCATGAAAGGAGTATCATCCATGGAAGATTTGTTTCAGCACTTTTGGGAAGAGGTTCAATCTAAGGAATTAGATTTACAGAATTATAGGTGGAAAACACTGTAATACCATAAAGTGGCCAGGAGAGCACAGGTTTTCCCTGTGTAGGAGCACACCTGAGCAGATGCATAGTTTTGATTTGTTTTGTTTGTTTCACTTGTGGTACTAGGATGGAAGCCAAGGGCTCAGGCATGCTACACAAGCACTGGACCATGAGCTACGTCCCCAGCCTCGCATGCTCTTCAGTGCGCTTAGAGGGTGGAAGGGTGGAATTCTTAGTGACATTTTTCTGGTATTCAGAGTGATGCTAGATGGATGGATGGATGAACAGATGGAGGGGGTGGAATTTATAAAACAAATAGGAATAGATCCAAATTTAACGTGTGAATTCTTTTTAAGAAAGGGAGGTATTTTAATACCGGATTAGCTCTATGCCCGGTGCTAGCTCCGTCTCTGGGCCATCCTGAGGCTGGTGGGGCCTGCAGCTTGGAGCACACGGGGGAATTTCTTACTGGAGAATCTCAGCCCCTTTGCCTGACTCGGACTCCAGGTGGAAGCATGCGTCACTTCCCTCAGGGCTCCCCGCATATTTGGCGTTAATCCCTTCACAGAGATCACACACTGCACCCTTGGGATTTGCTTACGTTTGAAAAATGTGTAAGCTGGGGCTTTCAATAAAAATATGTCAGATTTATTTGTGATGCTTTGGTGTAACTGTTGAGCTAATTTTTTTTTCATTATTTTTATAATACAATCTCACTGCATTGTTTAGGGAGGTACGCCTTGGGAGAAATGGGGTAGAAGAAATCAAACAGCATCCTTTCTTTAAGAATGATCAATGGAATTGGGATAACATAAGAGAGAGTAAGTCAATAAATCCAAATGCTTCCATTCCATCACATTTCAGATCACATAAACTGACTCTTTTTGATGCAACACGCGTGTTTGATGAACTTTATGCTAACTCATTTTTAAATTGGGAGATTTATTTCAGATTTTTTCCTGTAGCAATATTTATAATTAACAAGCTGATGTGTATATATCAACAGTGTTTCCCAATTCTTTTACAGTGAACATTATACATTTATTTATTTTTCAAGTGAAGTTTTATGGATCTCAATTTTCACAATAGGTCAAATATAATCCTTTAATTTTAATGCACGCAAATTGATAAATGAGTTACTTGTGGAAAATATACTCCAGTAAATATAGTAATTTGTTATATATATATATATAGAGAGAGAGAGAGAGAGAAAGAGAGAGAGAGAGAGAGAGAGAAGAGTACAATGAGAGCACACATTTATTCATTATAAGGGTAAAAAGTACTGCTGCTTAAAGAGTGTAGAAAACCTGAGGACCATAAAAAATATATATGCATGTTATTCTTGTAAATTTTAGCACCTAGAATAATATCATTTATCTTTCCTTATTTAATTGGTTAATATATTTAAAGTTGACATAGTAATAAATCAATAAAACTTGAATTCTTTGAAATGATGAAAATGTGATATAATCATATTGGCACTAATAATATGTCACAAAATGGAGGTTGTGTCTTCTGCTTCCACTACGAATGAAGTAATTTTTGTTTCTCTTCTTTTGACAGCGGCAGCTCCTGTAGTGCCTGAGCTCAGCAGTGACATAGACAGCAGCAACTTTGATGACATTGAAGATGATAAAGGAGATGTCGAAACCTTCCCGATTCCTAAAGCTTTTGTGGGGAATCAGCTGCCCTTTGTAGGGTTTACCTACTATAGAGACAATTTGTATGTTGTTCATTAACTTTTACTTGTTTTCATAATGTAGCTATAGGATGAAGCCTTATTTTGAAACCAAATTATAGATTATTCGTTTGCTTTAATTTTTGAGTTTATTCAAAAGGACTCTGAATTACCTTTAATTTGATTTCATTATTTGATGTTTATAGGCAGTGGGGAAGGACCCAGCTGAGAGAAGTTGACAGTAAAACAAAAGCAGTGATTTCTATCTTAAGACCTGGAGATTATGGGTTATCTTTGAAAAAAGGAGAGATGTTGTCTTCTAGACAATGGAATAGAGAAGAATACAATGTTACAGAAGCACAAGTGAGGCAGAGAAGAGGGAAGCACAGGTCTGCAGAAGGATTCCAGTCCCAACAAAGTTAAAATAGGTTATCTGACAAGGAGAGGCAAGGGAAGTTTAGCATTTTAAATACTGAAAATGGTGTGAATGTCTAGAGGCAAAAGTATTACTTCATCCTAATATGTTGAAGTGAAAAGAAAGTCTTTGTGCTCAATGTTTCTTTCTGAGAATATCTTGAAGAGGAGTGTGATGGCACACTCCTGTAATTCCAGCACTCAGGAGGCTGAAACAGGAGGATCACCACGAGTTTGAGGCCAGCCTGGACTACATAGTGAGTTCAAGGCCACCCTGCACTACATGGCAAGACCCTGTCTCAAAAAACAAAAACAGCCGGGCATGGTGGCGCATGCCTTTAATCCCAACACTCGGGAGGCTGAGGCAGGAGGATCACTGTGAGTTCAAGACCAGCCTGGGCTACATAGTGAGTTCCAGGTCAGTCTCAATTTCTGAACTACATAGTGAGACCCTGTCTCAAAAAAACAAACAAACAAACAACAACAACAAAAAAAAACGAGAGAGAGAGAGAGAATAACTTGGTTGGATAAGACAAGTGGATTGAAACAAAATGCAAAGGATGTTATTTTTCCTCCCTTCCAGGTTGTTAAGCAGCTCTCCACCTTGCAGAGAAAGTGACTTGGTACAATCAAGGAAAAATGAAGTATGTATACACTCTTGCTACGCTGGTTATTTCAGTCACCCGTTCAGACACTTAGCAATACCCATTTTTAAAGCTCTCATTTGACGCTGGAGTTGACATTGTGAGATTGCATCCCTGGTGCAGTGCGCACCACACAGCACTGCTGTCTGGGAGCATTGTGCAGTGAAGAGGGGGCTCCCACATGGCGCTGGCAAGTGGCTGCAGGGCCAGTTAGAAAATGTTGAGGTCTGGTGCTGTGAGAAAATGCAGATAGCAGGCTGACGGGCTCCTACACTGTCGGATGTGTTTGTATTTTTCTTTTTCCTCCCAGATAATACTCTGCAGAGCCCGTTTTCTCCTCCCCTTGTTTTTTTCCTGCCCTTAATGAATGTGAAACTTTGTCACCATAAAGAAAAAAAGAAAGCGGATACTAAGCTTTTAAGGTACAGAAGTAGAAGTAGGGGAGAGATTAAAATTCTGAGTTTCTATTTAGAGTGTATTCATATAAAGGATAATTTTGTCAACACTGTTCAGGTATTTCACTGTGTGAAGTATTTGGGACCACTGCAGTCTACAACCACGTTCAAAGCTAAGTCACACACAAGCCTGCGCACACCCAGCAGAGCTAGACATTTTTTTCTTATGAGAACTAAGAGAAGTAGGTTGGATAGTTTCAGTATGGCAATGTTTTAGGAATGTTCCAGTGCATAACAAATTAGCATTTATTTTAAAATGCTTTTATTTATTTACTTATTTTTCTCATTGAGTTTATTGGTATTCTTCAAGTATTTGGTAACAGTTACATTTATCATTTGGATCTTGTACCTTTACATGACAGATCGTGGTTCTCATTTTTTCCCCATACCGCTGCCCTCTTAAAATATTTTTGAAAGAACAGAATAGATAATTTGGGATTTACAGTATTTGAAATTCTCCCTGCTTCCTGTTTATCTGTCTTCTCTTTTGCTCTTCATATATACTACTAGTTTCTTTTCTTCATTGAAAAGAAAGTTTTGTCCTTTTATATTTTTGTCTCTGGCTTGTACTCTGAACAATGTTTTGGCAGCTCTTTTAAGATCATAATAGGGCAACTCATTCAGAACCTGTCCTGCCTCTCAGGAGCTGTTCCTATTCCCCAATAATTTTCCTACTCTTAAAAACAGCAAAAAAGATTATGGTGCACAGTGTATTAACAAATTGTTATTTTCTAACTATTTTGTTAGGAAATTTTATTTTTTCTTAAAAATAAGTGTTTTATTAATATCTGCTTGTATTATATTAAAATAAAAAATTTTAAATACATAACATTTAAATATTTTCCTTTTTTTTTAATAGGAAAGTCAAGAGGTATGTTATCAAATATGTTGAAAAACAGAGAAAACTCATCGCTGTAGCAATGTTTTAATTAATCACGGTTCATCTTCCATTTGGAGCGCTACGCCTACCCAAGAGAGAAGTTCCAGCCTTTTTTCTACCAAGTATCCCTTTTGTTACTGTCCCTTTGAACCCGCTCTTTAAGATGTGTGTCCTGTGACCCTGGTTCCCACTTAGCAGGGGTACACGCCGTGGGGCCCCTGACTGACGTGCGGGAACTGGTGTGCTCACGTGCAGTAGCAGCCCCGAGCGGTTGAACTTGACTAATTCATTAGCCTGGATGTTCTTACCACATTACGCCACAGCGGAGTTTTCTTAAGACACAGGAAATATTTAAGAAACCACAGAAGCGTGACCATGAACACAGACACGGGGTCTAAAGACCTGGGTTGATTCCGGAACCACCACTTATTATTTATCCTCTCCCGACCTGGGTATTTGCCTTGTTTGAATTTAATTTTCTTTAGCAAGTGGACACAGTGCTACCATATTCTTTGGGCTTTTGTTAGGATCAATGAGATAGCACTTCTAAAATGTCTGATATTGTACCTGGGGCACCACGGGGACTTAAAAAAAAACCTTTTAAAGAGGAAACAGTATAGTTTGTATTTATTCAGTAAGCTGGGCAAAGTACAAAGAAGGCTTGTAATTAATTGGCTATCACTTATTCAAGAATCATTGGCAGCTGTGGTGGTGCACAGCTGTGTAATCCCAGCACTTGAGAAGCTGAGGCAGGAGGATCACTCTGAGTTTGAGGCTAGCCTGAAGTACGTAGCAAGACCCTATCTCACCCCTGCAAAAAAAAAAAAAAAAGGGTCACTAATCATGGCTCTCTTCAGAGTGCTGTGTATCCAGTAATATGTACAGTACAAAAGAGGAGTTTGGATTCTTTCTTTAAAAACAGTAATATGTTTCTAGTACATTCTGTCAGATATTCTGAATATTTCCTTCAGCTATAAACCTTTTATCTCATGAGCACCAGTAGTGGTGATATTTTAAAATACAATCTATAGAAAAGCAGTGGGAGAGGTCTCTTTTCTTTCTAATGGAGTTTAAATCTTGGTATCAAAAAAGAATTCTTGGGCCAGGAATTTAGCTCAGTGGTGCTGCCGCCCACCTTGTAAGCACAGGGTCCCAAGTTTGATCCTCAGCACTATAAAAAAATGAATTCTGCCAAACTGGCAGCTTCTCATTCCTGTTTGTGTGAGTTTGTTCAGACAGGTATGTGTCATGACGTAGTGTGGTAGTAGTGTGGTAGAAGGCAGGAGGGGTGGTTTTCCTCTGTATATAAGAGTCACATAGAGCAAGTACACATACCACACCATCATGGAGGAAATCACATTGCATAGAAAAATAGAAGCTTAGCATTATTTTAAGTGTCTTATCTTTATGACCAGAACTGGTAATTTCTTGTTTTTTGACAGATTCAGAAAAAATTGTATTGCTTAGAAGAACGCTTTAACAATGAGCTACAAGCCAAAGAGGAGCTAGAGCAAAAGTGCAAGTATGTACTGTAGACAAATACTGTATTTTCAAATTTATGTTTAAACGTTTTATTTAAAAAGAGGTACAGGGGCCGGGGATTTGGCTCAGTGGCTCTGCCGCCTGTCTTGCAGGCACAAGGGCCTGAGTTCGATGCCTGGCACCAAAAAAAAAAAAAAGTTACAAGTAATTTATAAGTGTTTAAAATCCATATGCAATGGTTTTATCATAAATTAGAATTACTCTATTTACCCTTTTAAAAAATTCTTTAGATCTGTTACTACTCGCCTAGAGAAAACAGCAAAGGAGCTAGAAGAGGAGGTAAGGCGGCTCTGCTCTTTATTAACTTATTTTCCCTCTGCTGTGCATTGAACCCTGGGCTTCATATGTGCTAGGCAAGGGCTCTATCACTGAACCCTCCCTCCCTTATTAGTATTATTGTTGGCAAAATCTTTGATGTTTGGCCAGGGATGTAGCTCAGTAGTGCTGCACCTACCTGGCAAGCACAAAGCCCTGAGTTCAATTCCCATTACCAAAACAAAACAATACAAAACCCACAAAACTTTGATATTTGACTTAATAGAGGTCTCTAATACTGTGGGAATACATATCGATATTGGTAGACTGAAATCACAAGGTAACTCTGTTATCTAGACTTCATTCTGTCATTTTTTTTGCAGACTTGAGTTAATTTACTATGTGTAAATATTTCAAGTAGAAGTTGCATCTGTATTTTCTTTTCTCACTGAGTTTATTGGTATAGTTTAGGTATATAGCACAGTTACATTCATCATTGGGATCTTGTACCTTAGAAGTTGCATCTGTATTAAGATTAGTAGCACACTTAAATCCAGAAGTACTCTTTCTTTAATTGTTGTTCTTAACATTTTAGACTCATAGGATTAGACATTATAATGATAGAAAGTTTGACTTCAGTACTAAACAAAAGACATAAAGTTCTGATTATTTAAGAGTAGTGTATGTGCTATTTTATAAACATTAAAAACATTTTTAACAAAACAGTGATAGGTTTTTTAGATCTCTTATCTATTTGAAATGACTGACACATTTTGTTTTGATTTGATTTGTATGCATTCCTTTGATAATAATGCTAAGCCTTATTTCAGATTACCTTACGGAAAAATGTGGAGTCAGCATTAAGACAGCTAGAAAGAGAAAAGGCGCTTCTTCAGCACAAAAATGCAGAGTATCAGAGGAAAGCTGATCACGAAGCAGACAAGAAACGAAATTTGGAAAATGATGGTTTGTGGTGTAGAATATTAAATACTTACCAAGAAAAATATGATCATGTATTGTGTTAGAGCTTGCACTAAAATGCTTTTTGTTATAGTCAACAGCTTAAAAGATCAACTTGAAGATTTGAAAAAAAGAAATCAGAACTCCCAAATATCTACCGAGAAAGTAAACCAGCTGCAGAGACAGGCACGTTCCTCTCAGTTGGAGACAGGGTGTGGTGTTTGGTTCACGTCTTCTTTATAACCAGAGCTTCAGGGGCGGTGGTCAAAAGGCCACGGCTCTAGTTTTAGAGGGAGGTCTTGGGAACATTTTTTTAGGTTGTTTATTTTCAGTAGTTTGTGACAGGGCAATAAACCAGTGTGTTTCCATTGTAACCACTGTGTTTGTTTGCCTTTGCGTGGAATAACAGCTGGATGAAACGAATGCTCTGTTGCGAACAGAATCTGACACCGCAGCCCGGTTGAGAAAGACTCAGGCGGAAAGTTCCAAACAGATTCAGCAGCTGGAATCCAACAACAGAGATCTGCAAGATAAAAACTGCCTGCTGGAGACTGCCAGGTTAAAACTGGAAAAGGAGTTTATCAATCTTCAGTCTGCTCTAGAGTCAGAAAGGAGAGACCGGACCCACGGATCAGAGATCATCAGTGACTTACAAGGTATAAAGTGGAGATTGCACTGGAAATTGTCTTGATGATTTGTATTTTGGTAATAACTTTAGATGATGTGCTTCAGTAGCATATTTCTGAAATTAGAACATTAGAGGTGCATGTCTGTAAAGTTCTATGAAAGCACACATTCAGATAGTATGATTTAAGTACCAGATCCCGTAGTGGGCAGATTGACTTCTGGCTGAATTAATTGTGAAGCGCTATACCAACAAGTATGATACACTTGCTGACAGATTGGAGCTCCAAAATAGGAGAGGGCTTCCGAATGTTTTACTCTTAATTTAATGTACATAATTGTGTGAGTAGATTGTTTTTAAAAAGTGTTGCAATCTTTAGGTAGGATATCTGGCCTAGAAGAAGATTTAAAGAATGGCAAAATCTTACTAGCAAAAGTAGAACTGGAGAAGAGACAACTGCAGGAGAAGCTTACTGATTTGGAAAAGGTAAAACATGTTAAACTTTACATTTTTTGTGTATGAAAATAACTGTAGAATTTCAGATAAGAAAAGTTATTCTAAAACAAGCGAAACAAACTTGGACTATTTTCACACAGTGACAGACTCTCTTTAGACTTGGTTGCGGATTAGATGTGGTAGGAGAGTTGTAGCCAGGAAGGAGGCCCAGTTCGTACGTAGGCCATGACAAGATATGTAGTGGAGCCACTGAATAAAGAATAAAGGAAAATCAGCTCATTTAGAGGTGCAGCAGTAAGTGTATCTTAGCCCTCTTTGAGGTGCTCTTGGGATAGCCATATTGGAATGTTCATGAGGTAGGAGGCTGTGCCCGTAGCAGCTAGGGGTAGTTCATGGTAGGTAGGAGGCTAAACCAGAGGTGTAGAAGGACCCACCTGGGAAGAGACTGCATAGAGTAACAGTTAGCAAAGCACAGCACTTGCTTCTGCTAGTGGGTTGTGTAGTTTGAAGAGTCATTTATTTCCTTCTTCCCTCCCCCTCCCCCTTCCCTCCTTTCTGTATCCCCCTCCCCCAGTACCGAGAATCAGACTCAGGACCTTGCACTTGTGAGGCAGGCAGCAGAACCACTGAGCTCACTTCCCAGCCCCTTTTCTTTCTGTTTTTTAAGACGGAATCTCACTATGTAGTTCAGGCTGGCCTTGAACTCACTGCAATCCGATCTGAGTGCTGGAATTATAGGCATATGAAAAGTCATTTTCAGTATTAAAGACTTCATTTGAAAAAAGAAATGTTCATCATATTTGTGATATGAACTATAGAAATCAAAGAATTAGAAAATCCTGGTGGTCACCAGGCACGATTATTTATGCCTGTAATCCCAACACCTAGGAAGCCGAGTCAGGAGGATCACAAATTTGGGGCCAACCTAGGCTACACAGTGAGTTCAAGGCCAGCCTAGAATGCATAACAAGACCCTGCCTCAAAAAAATTTTTTTCTGATGGTATATGTAGAAAAATAGGGAGTATGATTTCACTTAAAACGTGACCCCAATGTGGAAGCTACAGGTAGATAATCGGAGGTGTTGAGGGTTTTATATTTTGTTTTAATGTAGTGAGGGGAAACGTTAAATATTAGAAATATACCACAGGAAGTTTGAGAAATTACCACAGGAAGAGGAAAAGCACTGTGGCCCGAAGATGCCAGCACCTGAGGTAGCTGGGGAAACCAGGAGCAGCAGTAAAGATGGGAGCAGGGTGGGCAGAGCCAGTGTTGAGGGCGCAGGTGACTTCAGCTGAGAGAAAGCCTGGGACTGGCCCAGAATGAGATGGTGAGGCTCCCAGGTCACTCAGAAGAAGCAGCCATGACAGTGGCCTGCAGGTGTGTCCCGGGTGTGGGGCCTGAAGAGGCAGCGGGCACAGAGGGCTGCTACGAGAAGTTGGCTTGACAAGGAGTTGGGTGCTGAGTGTTCCTGCTGAGCCTGTTCAGGAACAGTCTTGAGAGATTTTGAAATTGCGAGCCAGCCTTTTTGTTGATAACTGCCATTGACATCTTCACAGGAAAAGAGCAACATGGAAATAGACATGACATACCAGCTCAAAGTTATCCAGCAGAGCTTCGAGCAGGAGGAAGCTGAGCACAAGGCCACGAAAGCGCGGCTCGCGGATAAAAACAAGATCTATGAATCCATTGAGGAAGCCAAATCGGAAGCCATGAAAGGTGCGTGTTTGAAAAGAGAGTTTTCCAGCAGTATTTGCCTGAGAACTGATTCTTTGGTTCTGAAATATGCTTTATATTTTAATGGGAACTAGGGAAAAACTGTCAGAGAAGCTTTACATACATATTTTTTTCTCTTTGCATCAACAAAACCATTTCAGGACACTAAGGCCCAAACACAAAATTATTCAACTATATTTTTAAGTCAGAAAAATTGATATTTCAGTGGTGTTAAGAAAGACAGACAGGGCCGGGGATTTAGCTCAGCGGTTCGGTGGCCTGCCTTTCAAGCGCAAGGACCCGAGTTCAATCTCCGGTACCAAAAAAAAAAAAGAAAGAAAGAAAGAAAGAAAAACAGACATACAGAACATGAAAGCCTAGGTCTCAAAAAATGGGAACATGTTCTCTTGGGTAGTATTTATTTTAGTTTGGAATTTCACCAGCTTGTGCTGCAAAACGATTGCCAGTTTGTGTGGGATGAAAATGTAAAATTCCAGCTGCTCTAACTGGAGCCCCAGTTGTGAGAGTTCTGGACCCTGGCACGATGAAGATGCTGCCAGACTGCGTCAGAGCCCATGCGGCGAACCTTCCAGCGCTCCAGCCTGCACCTTGGGATTACTTGTGTTCCAAACTGTTTGTCATTATGATGGGCTTAAATTCCAAAATCGGTACTTTATTGTATTCTTAGGAGTTATGGAAGCGTAACATTTGTGAATAACTTAGCAAAAACAGCCTTTGAGTTATGACATGCAATGAAAACTGTAGATATCTTACTAAGCTGGTTTGGACTAGTTCAGGATGGTGATTAATGAAATAGCGCTTGATTTATAACTGTTACTTGGGAGACAGGAAACCAGTGGGCCACATCGGGGGAGACTTGCGTTGTTGTGAAGGTATAATTTATGTGCAAAATAATATAAACGCATTTGACAGTGACGATGCAGTCATGTAATCTCTATTCCAAATAAGATAGGGACTTTCTCTATCGCCTCAGTTTTCTTTTACCTCTGTTACCTTGCCCACATTATGTGATTATTCTTAAAGTGAGTGTACTTGTTCAGAAGAGTGAGCCAGTTCAGTGTAATAAGCTGCTGTTATCCCCAGACTGTTACTCCCAGCACACATAGCTGTGTGGTGACCGCACATGTGACACGTGAGCACCTAGACATCACTGTGGAGATGGCGCTCGGGCCCGGTCCACACCCCTTGGGCTTCCTGCTGTGTGTCATCGGCTCCTTGGGTCGAGATCATGACTTGCACATGGGCACTAGCAGCAGGAGCAGGATGGCCTTGTCCGCTGACTTGAACTGTGCCTGGTCCTCGGGAATGGGGCAGCAGCAGTGTTGGCTGCTGTGGTGCGCACCCTGCAGTGCCCGTGTGAAGCGCTTGGGATCGCTCTCTGTTGGAACCAGTGTGTACAGAGCGCTTTGTCAGAACCTGAAAAGTCACAGGCTTAATCTTTCCCGAATAGCACTTGATGGCAGGAGATGTTGAGCACAGGTACAAGAAGCGAAGGAGCCCAATTAGATTTGCACTGAGGCACTGGTCATGCGTCAGAAGGCAAGCCTTTGTCTGTAACAGCTTACATTTAACCTTGAAATCATTTAACAATAAACTCTGGCCTTCGCTTTGAGATGGAAGGAGGCTTTGCCCGAATTGCTAAAACAAATGAAAACTAATCACTTAGAAAAGATAGAAATTGTAGCTAAAAACCTAGCTTACCTTTAGTCCAGTTGGGTGTGGTGGCACAGTACTGTAGTCCGGGTACTTGGGAGGCAGAGATAGGATATCAGGGTCGAGGCCAGACCAGGTAAATCGTCAGGCCCTGTGGGATGAATGACTGAGTGTATGTAGCTCAGTTTCCATGGCCTTGGTCCCCAGTACCTTGCTCCAAATAGGTTACCCTAATCCTCCTAATCTAGATATTATTCTGTATTTTTTCTGCATTTCCTATATTGATTGCTTTTTTTTTCTTTTAAATATATGATCGGCAGGGATTTAGCTCAGTGGTTCCGCCCCCTGCTTGCAAGCACAAGGTCCTAAGTTTGATCCCCAGTACCCCCCCCATATATATATATATATATATAGAGAGATATATATATAGAGAGAGAGAGAGAGAGAGAGAGAGAGCGAGAGCGCGCACTTCCCTAGTCCTTAGTCCTTGCCACCTACTGGGTACAGGGAATTGCTCTGCAAGCCCTGCCTAGAGCTGAGCAGAGGGCTAAGAGGGCAGCTTACGTGCTCAATTAGAGTCCTCCTGGGATGCTCAGGGTAGAAACAATGACACCATTGACCGAGTATTGGGAAAATCAGTCTTCAAAGGTTTAGGCATTTACAGAACCATAAAAAGGCAAATTATCTTGCCTCCACTACAGTAGATATAATATTAAAAAGTGTAATCCATTCATAGAATGCCCTGGAAATAACAGTTCTTTTCATTTTTTGCCCCCAGATCTGGGGGTTAAACCCAGGACCTTCACACTGAGCTGTATCCCCAACCTTTTTTTTTTCATTTTGAGGCAACCATCTCAAATTCACTACATTGACAAGATGGACTCAGACATGTTATCCTCCTGCCTCAGCCTCCAGGAGTGCTGGGATGACAGGCGTGCACCCCCACACTTCCATCAAGTTACCTTTACTGTTACTTGAATGGCACTGTTGTGTATTTGGCGAGTTGCTTTTATTTGTAAAGTCATGGTTATGTCCGTGTCACTGTAACAGAAATGGAAAAGAAGCTTTTGGAAGAAAGGGCTTTAAAACAGAAGGTGGAGAACGTGCTGCTGGAGTCGGAGAAGAAGTGCTCCATGCTGGACTGTGACCTGAAGCAGGTGCAGCAGAAGCTGAACGAGCTCCTCAGGCAGAAGGACGCGCTCTGCGAGGATGTGAGTGTCAGCTTCCCGGAGCTGCCGCACGAGTCTGGGGTGGTCAGGGCAGACACCGTTTTCTTATTAATGTGCTGATTTTACTGGATTTGAGGACATACTGACTGAATCATAGTTGAATAATTTCAAAATTATTTTCAAAGAATATTTTATGTTAAGATATATTTTAAATATTTTTGGAAATACATATTTTGCTTTGAAATGAATTGATCACTGAAAGACAGAAGTCTATCACCATACTTGTTGCCAGTTTCATTGATCAGAAAGCTGAAAATGGTTTACTGTCAAACCTGCAATTTATTTTTCTAGGTTAGAAACTTGACACTAAAGATAGAGCAGGAAACTCAGAAGCGGTGCCTCACGCAGAATGACCTGAAGCTGCAGACGCAGCAGGTGAACACGCTGAAGATGTCAGAGAAGCAGCTGAAGCAGGAGAACAACCACCTGGTGGGGATGAAGCTGAGCCTGGAGAAGCAGAACACCGAGCTCCGAAAGTGCGTCCTTGGAGCGGGCCCTGCCTTGGTTCCCCCAGGGCTTTTCCCGCTGCCGTGTAACCATGCTATGGCAGCAGTGTGGGCAGAAAGTCACCAGGGTACCCAGCCTGCCTGAGAGCCTTCCTCGGGCTGGCCTGGGAGTGTTCTGCCCCTCTGGGTGTGTGCCTTAGGTACTAGGACTCACAAGTGTTTGACTCTTATCACTTTATAGGATATCTTTGGTACTCTACTTAATTTACTTACGTGGAAAACATTGTTAAAATGCTTTCAAAATATGCCTGGTGTGTTGGTACATACCTGTAATCCCAGCACTTGGGAGGCTGAGGCAGGAGGATCGCCATGAGTTTGAGGCCAGCGTGGGCTACAGAGTGAGTTCTAGATTACTCTGAACTATACAATGAGACCCTGTCTCAAAAAACTAAAAAAAGCAAAAACAACCCCAAACAGAAAACTTATTTCAAAATACGCTGTAAATGTACCCCAGAAGTCTGTCCTTTCTGTCAGCACTAGATCCCAGCAACTGGAATCCCATTTGCCCACTCGGGGTGGTAGTAGGGGAGGCCTGAGCTCTGGAGCCAGCGAACAGGAGCGTGAGTGTCCACCCCAGTGTGCGTTTGCTGCCCAGAGCCGGGCAAGACATTCACCTGTCTGAGCCGTCTCATCTGAAGAGGAGTCACGTTGCTTGTTAGCAATCTTGAAAACAAAACTGTGGCTTATTTAAGGTTCTTGTAGAGAAAACTCTGATATATTTAGGACCCAATGGCGACCATAACTACCATAACCTTCAGAACAGCACATGTCACCTTTCCTGACAGCCTGTGCCACATCAGTGAGATATGGACTCTGTAGAAAGGCTGGTGAGAACTGCCAGAAGACTTTGCTCTTTTGTGCTGGTTTATTTGTTGCCATGTAAGCCTAGATTCTTCAATGCTATGAGATTTCAGCTTTCAAAATTACAGCTAGAGGGCTAGCGATTTAGCTCAGTGGTTCTGCCGCCTGCCTCACAAGCGCAAGGGCCCGAGTTTGATCCCTGGTACCAAAAGAACAAACAAACATACAATATTACAGCTAGAAATCAGAGTAAGAGTCAAACATCTTTGTCTTTTTCCGCCCTGTGTATTAAATTTACACTTTTAGCTCAGCTTTTCCCATTTAACTGAAAAATTAGCATCCATATCCCCAGGGTGTTGTCCTCTATCTCCGTATACTTGGAAACACCCCAGATTCACTTTGCTGGCCCCCAGACCCAGGGTGGAAGTCCCAGCCTGCAGCTAAGCTGTGGACCTCAGGCCTAGCTGTAGCAACGCAGGTTCACAGCCATGTGTCCAGCTCTGCTTGGCGTCTGGATTCTGGAGCTGGTAACCATCTGGCAAGAGAGAACGTGGGTTATGCCTTACCTTATGGTCCTTGGTGTAGAAAGCCCTTTCCTTTCTTTGTAAGCGCACATGTTCTCTTTCTAATTGCTTTTTCAGTCTACCATTCCCCAAAGACGCCTCTGTCTTGACTGTTAGCCACTGAATAGGTTCGCATTCTGGAAAGGCAAGGATCGTTTGTCTGTTACTTTTTGTTCCCCCACCCCTGGTCCATGTCTTGCACACCCTGAACAAATGCCCATGAATGAAGCCATTTCTGCCCCGCATGAGGCATTGTCACAGTCACTGTGGGGACACAAACGTTAGTCACCCGCATTTCCTACCCTGAGAATCCGAGCGCCTTACCAAAGTTATTCATGAGACGGGTAAAATGAGTGCAGAAGTAAGTGGAATGCAAGGGAAATACTGCTCAGTAATAAAACACAGAAATAACAGACTAAGTGACATTAAATCATAATTGCCTTTTTACCCGGATGCTAAAGAGCTAGTAAATAAACACAGTAACCAGATTATGTTAAATGGCAATGAGGATAAAAGTCCTTGAGTATTACACAAACTAGTAGGATTAAGTACTAGTAACAGTAGGATTAAGTCATTCACTCTGAGTCTTTCTTCCAGTACACATTTTTCAGATATCCAAGTGGTATTCAAGTATTTTCTCACTGTGAAATACTCAAATACAAACTATACTGAGAGACAGAACACAGTTTCTATGAATATGACATTTTCCTTTCTCCAGAAGTAACATGTCTTAGTTCATTATTTATGCTTCCAGACTTTTTCTGTGCCTGCACGTGTGTATCTTTGCAGATATACATACAGGATATTGGATTTTTGTACATTATGGTTTTGTTTTTTTGTATCATAGACATTGCATTGTTCTCCAAGTTGACTTTTCCCTCTTAGTTTTGACTTGGAGTAAATATAATTATTATGTTTTAAAAATAAGGCTGGACTTTTAGTAGCATTTTATCTCAGTTACTTAAATGAGTTATCAGGCTTTCTTTTTATTTATTAAAATGAATATACAGGAAAAGTTCACAAATTAATTTAGAACCGTGTCAGTTTTTATGGTGTACAAAGCTGTGCACTCATTGTCATGATTTAGATCTAAAATCTGGACTCCTAGCCGAGCGTGGTGGTGCACACTTAGAATCCCAGCATTCAGGGGGCTGAGGCAGGAGGATCACTGAGTTTGAGGCCAACCTGGGCTACCCAGTGAGGCCCTGCTCAAGAAAAAAGTGAAACATAAATCCGGGTCCTAATCTTAATCCCCCAGGGCCCCTCCCATCCTCTTCACTCACCTCAGAGAACCGGTTCCCAGATGCTCTGCGCTCTCCATGGGGCCTGGGTGGCTGACACGGGGTCTGTAGGAGAGACTCATAGTTCATGCCATTGGTTTAGGTGACTCCAGCTTCAGAGCCCTTCCTGAGCTGGAAGGTGAGGGTTATGTGAGCTCTATGTAATGATATTTGCTGGCTAGAGACTGAAACAGAAGTGTGTTCGTTAGCTATGGGATAGAGGTGTCCCCTTCTAGCATGGTCTCATAGCCCATGCACAGTGGGTGGGGCCTAGTGGGCAGTGCGGTTGAGTCTGAGTCAGCGGGTGTCCCAGGGGTCTCCCTCAAGCCTGTGCTCCACTGTCTTCACAGAGAGCGGCAGGATGCGGATGGCCAAATGAAAGAGCTACAAGATCAGCTTGAAGCAGAGCAGTATTTCTCCGTAAGTTCATCCACGCTCGTTGGAAAATTGCTATTTGTGGGATTCTTAAGGCTCTTGCTGCATGACCAGAAGATGCACTTATTTAAAATAGATTCTTAAATGCCGGGCAGTGTTTGGGGTGGAATGGTTTGTATCGCACGACTCATAAAAACGAGTACTGGGCAAAAAAGAATGTAGATAATTTAACAGAATCATTATCATTGCTAGAAAAATAATTTTATCTGTGCATGATGGTGCACACCTGTAACCCCCAGCACTGGCGAGGCTGAGTCAGGAGGGTTGCCACAAGTTCACGGCCAGCCTGGGCTTCATAGTGAGACCCTGCCTCAAAAATCAATCAGAAAATTCTAAGCATTATATTATATAGACTCCATAGACTGTATCTGTGAAATTTATTAAGAGCATTGCTTTTTGAGGAAGAATGTCTTCATAATGAAATAAAATTGTCATTTTGACATTTGCACTTTTTGAGATCGGATTTAAATTTGAAGTAGAAATTGTCACCCCTGTTCAGTTGATCTAAGTCAACAGAATGTTCTCTTCTGAATTGGTAATATCTGTTCTTCATTCACCTGCCCATCTGTCCAGTCTGGCTGGCTCAGCCTGCCCAGCCCCAAGGCCACGCAGCGCGCCTGCTCAGGGGCCTGGGGCCCCCGGTGTCGGGGTGGAGTCTGTGTGTTCGGGTTTGTTTCTGGGTGTAATTTGAATGTGAAAATAATACTCTTGACAAGTACCTATTTCTTTTGTATATTTTGCTGTTTAGACCCTCTATAAAACCCAAGTTAGGGAACTTAAAGAAGAATGCGAAGAAAAGTCCAAACTCTGTAAAGAATTACAACAGAAGAAGCAAGAGCTCCAGGATGAAAGGTGAGTGGGCCAGGGTGTTTGCCCTGCTCCTGAGCGCTGCCCGGCTCTCCTCACAGGTGGATGCAGGCAGCAGATGGGGCTGGGGCTCGGGCTCCAGACGGGATGGAGCATGGCCTGGCCCTCACCAGGAACGCGTGCGTGAACGGGGTCTCTACGCGGCAGGGACTCCTTGGCCGCCCAGCTGGAGATCACCTTGACCAAGGCAGACTCAGAGCAGCTGGCTCGCTCCATTGCGGAAGAGCAGTATTCTGATTTGGAAAAAGAGAAGATCATGAAAGAGCTGGAGATCAAGGAGATGATGGCCAGACATAAGCAGGAGCTCACTGAGAAGGACGCCACCATTGCGTCGGTGAGTGAGAGCTGCTGCCTCCTTGCTCGCAATGCAGTCGCTCTGCCAGGCTTCTGCAAGAGCCCAAGGGCTGTGTCGGATCTCGGGGAACCCTGAGAGCCACGCACTGCTGCATGCTCTTTAATCCGGTAACTACAGGTGTCTCGGTGTTGGAGAGCGACAGTTCAAATAAAGGGAAACTGCAAAGCAAAGGAAAATGTCAGATAGTTAGATTTGCCTACCAGTGACTCAAACCCATGGAAATGGTGCAGGAAGTCCAGAGTGTGCATTACTATAGAGCTGTGCAGTCCGCTCAAAGGGACAGAGAGGCCAGAAGTGGGGTTCTGGACCAAGGGAAGCCAGCAGCTGAGGGGAGGTGCGGGGAGGCAGCGGAGCACAATGGTCTCAGATACAGAAGAGGCTCAGCAGCGCTTCGGGACCTGGATTTGAATTATGACATCATGACTTAGATGTTGTAATTGGGATGTGATTTTTTTCCCCCATTTTCATTCGTTAGCTTGAAGAAACGAACAGAACACTAACTAGTGATGTTGCCAATCTTGCCAATGAGAAAGAAGAATTAAATAACAAATTGAAAGATGCTCAAGAGCGTATGTATTCAGAGTAACGTTTTTGACACCTGTGCCCACTGTCCGCCATGCTCTGGAGCTGTCTGTCTAACATCCATGTTTCCTGTGCTGCAGAACTGTCACGGCTGAAAGACGAGGAGATAAGTGCTGCAGCTGTTAAAGCCCAGTTTGAGAAACAGCTGTTGACAGAAAGAACACTCAAGACTCAAGTACGTCACCAGACTCAGTATCCTGTCGTGTTCTGTTTCTCTCTCTTCTGTTTTACTGCTAGCATTGCAGATCAGAAGCTGCCGCCTTGAGTGTATTGGTTTTTCTGAACCTGCTTTTAGTCAGGCTGGGGAAGCTAGATTTAATTAGCATCATTCAGTTTAGTGTCAAAGTTTTTCTTAATTTTCCATATGAACTCCTATTCTCTCCTCCTGGCTTATTGTATCCAGTAAGCGTTTCTCCTCTTAGAAACTAATAGGGAATGACCATTTGCTCACAGTCTGGGCAGAGGCTTTGTAAAGGCCCTGTGGTTAGTGACCACTGGACCAGCTCCTAAGGATGCTGCAGACGGCATGGGCTCTGTGGTTGCTTGATGCATTCTCTGCCATTGGGCAGGGTATTTTCTAGTGTGATGCTAGGGCAGAATTCTCCCCCCAGAGCAAAGGAAGAAGTATCTGCATATTCAAGGCCCCTCTGGAACAAAAGTTAAAGTGGTAGAAATATTTTAATTGGTGGTGGGGATTGAACCCATAACCTCACACCCCTTGGCAAGGCCTGTCCTACTGAACTATGCCCTCAGCTCCCTATAGTATTGTAAATTATGGTTCGCAAAAACTAGTATTGCATAGAATGAAGGACAGTGAATAATGAAGAAGACGTATCATTTAATTACCTAGAAAAAGCTGTGTATAGGGAAGATTATTATTGGTTGTGTAATTGGGGACTGGAGTTATTGAGAAACCATCAACATGTATTTTATTGTTTTTATATTTTTAAGGCTGTGAATAAGTTGGCTGAGATCATGAATCGAAAAGAACCTATCAAGCGTGGCAGTGACACAGATGTGCGAAGAAAAGAGAAGGAGAATAGAAAGCTGCACATGGAGCTTAAGTCTGAGCGTGAAAAATTGACCCAGCAGATGATCAAGTACCAGAAGGAACTGAATGAAATGCAGGCCGTAAGCATACTTATTGGACTCTACATGAAGACTTCCTCTTAAAAAAACTCATGCCCACGTCTCTGTGTGTTTGGCTGGTTATGGAACATTTCTACAGACAAATGTTACTGAGCCCAGGGTGCACAATCTTGAGGTCTCACACATTCAGTTAACTGAGTTAATTTAATTTTTTATAGCAAATAGCTGAGGAGAGCCAGATTAGAATCGAACTGCAGATGACACTGGACAGCAAGGACAGCGACATTGAGCAGCTACGGTCGCAGCTCCAGGCCCTGCACATTGGCCTGGACAGCTCCAGCATCGGCAGCGGACCAGGGGACGCGGAGGCTGAGGATGGGTTTCCAGGTACAGCTTTGCTCTCCACCCTGGTTGTCCTCACCAGAAGTCAGCTGCTAGGTTTAAGACCCATGGCTGACTTTGCTTCTGAGGGACAGTGTTTATCATTTTCTTTATCATTTCCTAATCCTTGGAGTGGGAATTCAAATAATATTTTGGACTCATTTGTTGGTTTTTGTCAGTATTGTTCATGAAAAAACAAATATGCAAAGGAAGCCACCGCCTGCTTAGACATGTAGCTCACTCTGTGCTTGCAAGGTCTCTTTTAAGCTTCCCTTTTCTTCTCTTTCCACCCCACAACCTCGCCTCCTTGTATGGTGGGCATTCAGTTCACCTTGCTCAGTCCCACACTGTGCAGTCCGTGTCCTTCTACCAGCACTCTTCCACTTCTCTCAGTGTGGCCACCAAGTCCTCCGGTCCCCACGCACTCCTCGACTCGGACTCGGACTCAGACTCAGACTCGGAAGAGCCTTTGCCTTACTTGCCCATTCCATCGGAGCCCAGGGGTACAGGTGACAGCGTGAAAACCTTCTTGTCCGCAAGGCCTTTCCTGCTACCCTCAGTTGTAGCCTTTTGGAAAACTTCTTACAGCATCAACTAATCTTCACTAACTCTGACAAGTTACTGTAGATTCAGTCAAAAATTAGGTGCTGCATGAACAGAGACTGTTTTTAAGGTATTTTGATGTGACGTATTATAATAGCACATTTACTTCAGCAACTTAGAAGAGGAGCAGTACGTTTTGTCATGTCAAAGTGGTTTTTCTGCATTTATTCTCAGCCAAGAAATTCAAGTGAAGAGAGCAGGATGTCTTCACTTAGAGTCACAGCATAGCCTCCCGCATTCCTTTGTGTTGTTAGGTTGCCTTCGCTCCTCTGTGGAGCTGTGATATGGTTACAGAGAGTTCAGGTAAAGGGTCCAACACCACTGGCTCGTGCTGGGTGGTTGACAGTGACTTGTACTGCTAGAATGACCTCCCCAAGCCCTACTTCTGCCTAAGATGCTGATCTGTGTACTAGAACAAATCCCAAGAGCTTAGAGACTTCTTCATACAACTAGAATTGTACTGGTTTTGGTATTTCGAAGTTCAGAAATTTTTGGCTTATATTGCTCTCAGATTTGATCTGTAATTCATAGTTTTACATCACTTTACTATAGCCATTCTAAAAGTCTCTGAAAACATGGAACCACTCATTTAAAATGTTCTCTCCTCAAAGGTTTGCATTCTACCTATAGTTAGGCCTTCTTCCTAAGGATTATAATGCTCATATACCAGTGAGAATGGAGAGTTGCTGGAGCTCTTGGTGTTTTGCAAGTTTTCTCCGGAATTATGCCTGTGCATGGATTTAATGGGGTTTTTGACTTTATGCGACTATGCAGTATTTTTCCCAGTGTGATATAACCTGGATTTTGTTGTGCAGTGCATAACTTGGATTCTATTGATCCTGCATTATTGCTGTACCCTAGATAAAGTACAGCAGTGAAACGTGAACGGCACATTGGATGGACTTTGTGATTTCCATATGAAAGTGGAATTCCTCGTGTAAAGAGTGCTGTTAGATTTATCCTCATATCTTGTGCTTATTTATAGAGTCAAGGTTGGAAGGATGGCTTTCATTACCTGTGCGAAACAACACAAAGAAATTTGGATGGGTCAAGAAGGTAATGAATCGTTTTGAATGTGGTTCCTTTTTGTGTACTTCCAGTTTAGCTCTGGCGATTTCACTGTTGTAGTTGTAGGATGTACTGTGGGCAAGACTTTTTTTTTGGTACTGGGGATCAAACTCAGGACCTTGAGTTTGTGAGGCACGTGCAGTGCCAGTGAGCTAAATCCCTGGGCCAAGATTTTTCAGACATATAAAACTAGTCTGTACTCTGATTTGGAATGATGTGATTTTTAGCTCTGTAAAATTACTCTCCATATGTTGTTAACAATAAACTGAGTTTGGGGTTAGAAAAATAGAAACCTGCTGAATTTGTTGCTTTTACTGTCTTAATGGGAAACAGCTCTGGAGAGGAAAGGCCCATTTAGTTTCTTTTCTTCTGTCACTATGAATATTGATGTTATTATGTTCATTTTTGGTCCAAAAATACTTGACCCTCTCCAAGAAAATAAATTAAATATCAACAGACAACTTTGTAAATTTGAGGAAAACTTTCCTAAAGATGTTTCAGTACATCTTAGTTACTAATTACTTTCTCATTTTTATTGCTAATATACAACTTTTTTTTTTTTTTTTTTTTTTTTTTTTTTTTGCTACTGGGAATTGAATTTGGGCCCATAGGCTTGTGAGGCAGGTGCAGAACCACTGAGCCAAATCCCTAGCCCTGTACAACTTTCTTTTTTTTTTTTTTGGTACCGGGGATTGAACTCAGGTCCTTAAGCTTGCAAGGCAGGCTACCGAACCGCTGAGCTAAATCCCCGGTCCTACAACTTACTTTTAAAGAAAGTAATAATTATGGTGTGTACATTATTAATTATCTGACTCTTTTCTTCCCTCTTTTTAACAGTACGTGATTGTGAGCAGTAAGAAGATTCTTTTCTATGACAGTGAACAAGATAAAGAGCAGTCTAACCCTTACATGGTCTTAGATATAGAGTAAGTGCTGTTACAAGAATGTTCAGAGTTATCACCCGGACATGTCCTTACCGTCTCTCTCCCATCTTCATCATCATTTGCAGTGTGAGAACGAGATGCCTTTCCTCAAGTTGGCACAGTTTATTAGTAGTTGTAGAAGAGTTTGTAACATAGCTCTTACCATACTTGGATTTCATTTTCTCATATTCTTTAAGTCTAGGATCTAGGGTTCTCTCAGTCATCTTTATTTCATGGATCTTAAATATATTTTGTGAAACTGGAAAATTTGACATAGAAAATTTCTGAAAAATCATAAGTAATGATTGAATTAATAGAGCAAGATAGAGCTTCTAACATGGGTCAAAGTGGTCAGGCTTTAACTCTGACACAAGTGGAGGTCAATAAATGTAATTTGAACCTTTGGTAACATTTTATTCTTCTTTGAATCTTTTATAGCAAATTATTTCATGTCCGACCAGTTACACAGACTGATGTCTATAGAGCAGATGTGAAAGAAATTCCAAGGATATTCCAGGTAAGCAGTTTCATCTTCTCGCTCTTGGAGGTTCTCACATGCCCCGGCTCATCACACTCCTGTCCCTACTAACCTTGAGATCACCTTTATCTCAACCACTGGGAGATGGCTCGTTCTTTCAGGGCTCCTTGTTCTGTTTGGGAATGTCTTCATTCCTCTCTCTGGAACTTTACTTGTGAAAGCTCATAATAGGTTTCTATCATGTTTCTGGTCTTTGTTCTTTTTTGCAATGTTGCTTGGTTTTTTTTTTTTGTTTGTTTTGTTTTGTTTTTTGTTTTAAATCTTGAACTTCCTGCTGTTTTTGTTTTTAGGATTTGCTTTCAAAAAGTTTTAAAAAATGTCACTTAGGAAGTTTTTTTTTTGTTTTTTTTTTTTTTTTGTACCGGGAATGGAACTCAGTCAGGACTTTACACTTGCTGTGGAACCACTGAGCTAAATCCCTGGCTAGGAAGTTAAATTTTATATGTAGTAGCCTGTTTACCTCCTGTTTAAACAAGAAGCCAGCCAGGTGTGGTTGGTTATGCAAGCTTAGCATTCAGCACTCTGGGAGGCTGAGGCAAGTGGATCACAAGCTCAACCCCCTACTACAGCAGCTTAGCAAGAGCCTCTCTCAAAATCTAAAAAAAAAGATGAGAGGGGTGTGGCTCAGTGCGAAGGCTGTGTTCAGTCTCCAGTACCATAAAAATAAAGTGAAATTCTTATCTTTACTACCTGTGTTTAAAATTATTCAAACCAATGTTAATCACTGAGTTCTTTCTTTGTAAAAGTCACTGAGCCTGATTTGTCCCCTTGTTTTCTGGGTACTTACACTGTTACACATCTTTTGAAAGAAGGCTGTTTATATAGCATGCATTATATCTGTGACCCAATTTTATGGGGCTGTGTGTTTGTTTTTAAGGCATTGAGGATTGAACCCCAGGCCTTTCCGCTAACCTTTATCCCCTAGGCCCGCCTCATCCTCTCTTTTGAGACAGTGTCTCAGTCAGTTACTCAGGCTGGGCTTCAACTTGGGATCCTGCTGTCTCTGCCACCAGAGTGCCAGTGTGCACCACCACACCTGACCCATTTTTCTGTTTGTAAGAAGCACGTTACCAGTACCTTCTCCCTGCTGCGGCTGGGACCCGGGGCTTCAAGCATGCCAGGCAAGCACTGAGCTTTACGCCAGCCCTGCTGTTAAGAAGTCTAAAACAGGATGACTAGAATTGCCAGTTTTTCAAGTGGTTGGCTCATCGTTGCTGCTGCTGTTCCATTTGGGGCAAGGGGTGCTGTGACTTGAACCTGGGGCCTCCTTGTTCCACTGACCCCTGCCTGGGGTGGTTGTACTGAGCAGGCCGCCCCAGGGAGCTCTGCCAGACAGCTGCAGCGTAGGTCGATCGGCCTTCCTGTCGCACGGAGCGTGAGCAGTGCAGGCAGCGGACGTCCAGTGACTCCTCACGGGGTCCTCCTCGCGAGGAGCCAAGGCCGATTTCTCCTTCATGCACACTTCAGAAGTGTTAGGACTTGGACCTCACTCGTGGTTCTTCCTGGTTTTACAGATCCTGTATGCCAATGAAGGAGAAAGCAAGAAGGAACAGGAGTTTCCAGTGGAGCCAGTAGGAGAGAAATCGAATTACATCTGCCACAAAGGGCACGAGTTCATCCCTACCCTGTACCACTTCCCGACCAACTGTGAGGCCTGCATGAAGCCGCTGTGGCACATGTTCAAGCCCCCTCCTGCTCTGGAGTGCCGCCGCTGCCACATCAAGTGCCATAAAGACCACTTGGACAGGAAGGAGGAGCTCATAGCGCCATGCAAAGGTGAGTGGGGCCTCCTGCCCTGCGTGGCGTTGGTGCTCAGCGCACCGTGCGCTCTGACGGAGTCCTGTGTCCCTCAGTGTACTACGACATATCCACGGCGAAGAATCTGCTGCTGCTCGCAAACTCCACGGAGGAGCAGCAGAGGTGGGTGAGCCGCCTGGTGAAGAAGATCCCTAAGAAGCCCCCAGCACCCGACCCCTTTGCACGCTCATCGCCCAGGACCTCCATGAAGATCCCGCAGAACCAGTCCATCCGGCGGCCCAGCCGGCAGCTCGCCCCCAACAAGCCCAGGTGAGGCGCAGGGCAGAGTGGCTCTTGAGAGGTCTCTGTGGGCCTCAGGTTTTCCCTAGTTTCCCTTGGTGTTGTAATGACCCACGGGACATGGACTTCAGTGTGGGTCAGCGGAGCAGACCGGTGTGGGGAGGGGTGGCTCCCACCTTCACAGGCAGAAGTCACAGAAGTCAGCTCAGGAACAGGACTCGGAGCCTGGAAACTCAGCTGTTGTGACGCGCAGCAGTGAGACAGTGTCAGAGCGGGTGTGTTTCTGAAAAGGTGGTCCTGAGTGAGTAGCTGTCGTGTTTGCTTCTGAGGTGAACGGTCACCCATCGGCCCACTCCATCGGTGTCACCAGGCATGCCCTCTCGGCTCTGGCAGCTGTGCTGTCACAGAGTTACACCTGTGTCCGAGCCCAGCTGAGGCCCAGTGGCTTCCACCCTGGCTTCCCAGCCCCGCTTTTCCCGAGGTGACACAGCGGCCATGATCCCCTGCAGCTCAAGCCCTGGGGACAGAGAAGGCTGTCAGCTGTGTAGGGACAGTCGCTCATCTGGGATCACAGGTCCACTTTTGCCTTAGCAGCTGGCCACTGTCACACGAGTCGGCCGGCTGTCCCGGTGCGCCTTGCCCTGAAACCCCCAGTGCCAACGGGAGGGCGAGGCTGGCAGCGTCGGCTCTAGGGAGCTGCAGCTCCAGAGTGGAGTCTGAATTCGCACCTCCTGTTGCAGATTGCTTGGCTTGGCCCTGAAGGACTGGGACTGGTCTTTTGATGATGGTGATGGTGATAGTGACGACGACGATGTTTTTGATTTCTGAAGGAAGAGATGGAGTGAATCAAAAGTGAAAAACGAATTGTGGTGGTGTTCCATGCAGTGCATGTGGTTTGCCTTTGGGCTTTTGCCAATTTCTACTAGTTTTGAAACTTTATAGGTTGTTTTTAAGAGCATACATTTACAGTGTAGTCTCCGGAAAAATTTTCTAACTGAAATTCCCACACCAGATGTCAAGATGAAATGCTATGTTCAGATTCTTTATCGGCTATAGACTTGCAATACAGTTGGAATGAAAATTTTTATCTTAGCAGTGAAAAAGGTAGAAAAACAAAAGGAGCTAATAATCTTGTACTTTCTGTTCATTCCAAAAAAAGCTGTATTCTGAGAAGTAAAGCCTTGCGGCTGCTGTGTGTGCTCAAGTGTGAGAACACAGCATGGGCGCCCTCCCTACTCCATTGTGCACAGATTGAAGCCCTAGCCGGAGGCGTCTGTGGAGTGCAGCGGAGCTCTTTCTGGCCCGCTCTTCTGTGAACGTTACCCTTGCCGTGCTGGTAGAGCCCTGCACCCTGGGGCAGCACCCAGCACCGGCTTCCTAGAGACTGAGGGGTGAGGGCAGCGCCCCCTACCCACCTCGCACCCCAGGCAGCGGGAGTGCGTGTCCTGAGCCACGTGAGCCATGGTGCACTCACACTGTGTAGTGCTGGGATCGGCTCATGTCAGTTTCAGGGAGTATCTTTACAAGTGTATTTCCTCATGCTTCATGCCAGCTAAACCGTCTTGAATGCCTTCATTTAAATAATTCAAAGTTTTAACCCTTTTCTGTATTTAACAAAAAGTTCTCAGCTGGCAGCTGCCTCAAGTCAAGCTCCTGTGCAGATGCGTTGCTTTGTTGTGTGCTCTTAACCCTGGAGCTTCTTCCCCGCACTAAGATTGGTGTGTCATGTCAGCCAGGGTAGGGCTTCCAAGGTCTGCTGTTGCTGGGCATAGTGGTGCACACTTGTCATCCTAGGACTCGGGAGGCTGAGGCAGGAGGTTCACTGGGAGTTTGGGACTAGCCTGGGCTACACATTGAGTTTGAAGCCAGCTGGCACTATATAGTGAAACCCTGTCTCAAAAGAAAAATCAAAACAAAGTCCACTGTTGAACTGAGAAAGAATATAATTAATTGCATGTACCTAAAAATGAGAAAAATAATGTAATTCAATGTGCTTATGCATGAGTGAGATGTTAGAAACGTAGCAGTTAAAAGACAGTACAGTCTCATACTGCCTTTCCGAGGGATCTAACATGGAAGTCACTGCACTGTGTCAGCTGACTTTGTCTTTTCTGTCTTTCCAGCTAACTGCCTTCTATGAAAGCAGTCATCCCAGATGACCTCGTTCTCCCAGGTAAAACAAGACTCAAATGTGACGCCCGGAACTTAGTAAAAAGCTGTATTTTCCCGAGGGACACACTCACACACAAGCACACACACACATTTGTTCCCTTTTTCCTGTAATGGAAGTTACAGATCTTGGAGTGGTTTCTGGGCTCCACCCTTGCATCCCGAATCCCTTGGCGGCACTCGCACTACATGGCGTGGGGCGGCTCCGGAGCGGTGCAGGGCGTCTTCACGTCCAGGAGCGCTCCTGCCGGACACTGGGCAGCGGAGTCTGGCGTGGGCCCCACCAGTGTCCCTGCCCTGGGCCGTAGACTCCCAGCGCACCACCCACGTCCCCTCCCGCTCCCACTTCAGCCGCAGCTGTGCACCGTGGGCCGCAGCACCGTCGTCGCCCGTCTCTCACCGTGCTGGTAGAAGCTGCATGCTTGTGGTTAGCAGTTACTGTAACAGGAGCTTGAGCTCTTCTGTCTCCTCATGCTTCGTGATAGGCAACTTTACTCACTTTGGATGCCTTAATTTAACTTTTTTTTTCAAAGTTTCAGCCCTTTTCTGTATTTAAGAAAAGTATAAGTGTTTACCAGCTCTTAGGATACAAACTTGCGTTGTGGAAGAAAGTGTGCACATAGTATGTGTAAAATGCTAGTGTTTCACACGCACTAGTCAGCAGAGGCTGTTTGGGTTGGTGTGTGTTGTTCTGATGGTTGTCAGAGAAATGGTGATGGCGCTGGGGCCTGACCTGCCCCGTGTTTGCCCGGTCTACCACCCTCTCGCCTCCTAGCAGCCCCGACCATGAAACGCTGGCTTTGCTTGGAATTCACTGGCTGCCTGATGGTTTTTATTTCTGGTAAAGACATTTGTGACTATTTTTACATTTTTGCGTTCAAGATTCAAAACTTGTATCAAATATAAAGAAAACTAAGGTATACTGTAGATATATTTTAAATATTTAAATGCGACCCTCAAATACACAACTGTGTGTGGCAGTGTTTAAGTACTGGGCCAGGGAACTTGGGAGAAGCAGCCTCGGGGGCTGTCCTTGTTTGACGTTTCCAGTGTGCTGAGGGCGGGCTCCCGCACCATGTCCTGGCAGCTGTGCCTGGTGCCGTCTGGGCTCGGCTCGCACTGTGTCCGGACAGCGTCTGGTAGGTGCTGAGCTGCAGCACCCAGGATTCAGTGAAGGAGAAGACATTTCCCAGTGCCTCCCTCTGGTTCACCACAAAACGCGGCCAAGCTCGCGCCCCGCTCAGTGCCATTGTCGCCCTGGCCTCCATCCCTCCTGTGCCAGGCGCATCACTCCTGCCGCCGCCCCCGTGCGAGACTGGGTGGGCGCCCTCGGGA